CAATATTGAATGTGGTTCAGTTGTTGTAGTCACTGTTGATAAGAAATTACCAACGGATTGACATCTTCATTTCAACAAATCATCTTTTTGTTCATCTCATGTTGACACATGCACCCAGCTTGTGTTTAATTGGTATATCGCCTGTTTCAACTACAAAGCGACTGAAGTCCCTAGACAGACCACTCAACCAAGCGTTTTCGAGTTCGGTTCTCGCCAAGTAACTCTTGAGAATAGTCATTACCAGACTTCTCTGCGTTCATAACTTTAATTAGATATTGGCATCCAATTCTCATTCTCTGCCCCGGCAGTGTCCAACGATTTGTTGACATGTCATTTCTAGTTCGCGCTCGGCTTAAAAAAAAACTACCATGATAGGCAGTCTGTTTCCCGGCCTCCTTATTACGAATTCTCAATTCATCTTCTTTTCGAATTCTTTTCTATGGACAGAGGCAATTCAATATTACACTGAATCCCTCAGAACTTCAAATGAGAATTTGCCTTGATACAGATTTTTACGGAATAAAATGTACGCCTGTTAGATTGTTATCTACGAATAACTTGAACTGCTTTATTTATTAGTTAAGTTTTCAACCTCCTAATTTTCCAATCAGGGCACAAAATAAAATCAGCTGATGTTGAATTAAGCCACCGAATGTGATCGGTAAAAGGCTGCAAACAGACATTTCCTCCCACAAATCATTGCGTCCAGTTAAACCCTGAAGGACGTGGAGCACTTGCTGATCGAGGCCGTAAAATCAAAACCCAAGTGATCACATCGGCAAGTCAGAGAGAAGGGAAAATACCTTTAAGAGCCAATGAGAACTCAAAGCACAAACAAACTGCCTAACTAAACCGCGGAAAAACGCGGGTGACCAACCCGTGTTTAGTTTCAGTTTTTCTATTGATTAGTTATAAATAAATAAATAATGACTTATTGGATTACACAATTACTGGTAGAATCAGTAGTTCTCATTGTGGTCCATGCAAACAACTGAAACAAATAATTTAAATTGAACATAACATTATTAAAAGAATCCCAACTGGCCGAAGGCAAACTAGTTGGCTATTTCGGCAAGCATGGCCGAGGATTTTAACTCGGAGCCACTGTGAAACAAATTCAGGTAGTGGTCAGGGCGGGACTCGAACCCAGGAGCGACGGATTGCGAGTCCGACACGCTGACCACTCGGCCACCCACACTGCCTCCATTGGTTGAGGAAGTGCCGCGAGGGGATGGGGGCTTTGCGCCCTCCAAGCCGGGAGCCTGTTCGCAGGCTACGCGAGAATATGGACCAATCACAGAGCGAAGTAAAGCGAAAACAGAGCAATACCAGATTACTTTCGACATTCAATTAAAATTTCTCCAAACAAACCGATCATTAAGAATGCTGGTCTATTTCTGTGTCCCTGTGGTTCTAGACCACGACTGGTGCCAGCACAGCTTTTCAAAAAACCCCTGGTGACGAAACGCTTTTTCGAGAATTAGTGTTATTTGGAATCTTAAGCAACTCATCACTGATGCATGAGCACAAGCGATGCAGTGTAGGTGACGAACAGCGCCTTAAAAAATCATACATGGAGCTCAAAGTCTGGAATTCTTTCTCATAGCTTAGGGTCTCAGTCAAAGAGGAAACTGAAAAATCTAAGAGTTATCGTTGTAAATATGATGAAATTCTATGAATGATCACTGTCGTTTGTAAATATTCCGGGCCGACGCTTGATGCTAATGCATTGCAGAAAATAATAGCTCGAACATTTTCTGTCCGGCCTTGCAGTAATCCAAGTAAAGCACCAGCAGTTAAAACGAGTTGCATGATGGCCAAATTCTTTATAATTTCAATGTCAGATACGAAAAAAGATGCACCCCGACCGGTGAGTCTCCATTTTTACCATTTATTATGTCTGAAATTCGATTCAAAGATCCTTTCATGAGAGTCTGGTTTTTATCGATAGCGTACTCATTACTGATAAAGCGTGCATCTTTCCGGCATACAATCTTGTTTCAGCTCCGAAATTTCTGATAACAACGTCAGTCTATGAAGTGTTTGAGCTAAATCCGTCTTCAATCAAACATTGTGCTAGACATGGGGGTAATTAGAAAAACCAGAAATTTGCATTGGTTCAATGTTTTGTATCACTCAGATATGATAAAACTTTTAAGTAAACGTACCATAGTTATTTTGACTATTATCATCTTCATAGAATTAAAATCATTATCAGTTTTTTTGTTTATCAAACTTAAATAATTCATAGTTGCTGGATATGTGTTACGGAGATTTTTTTCAGTAAATTTAAACTTCAACGAGCAAACTGAGGAAATATTTGTTTTTATCGACTCCGAATGAATCGTGACGAAAAATTTGAGAACACGCATATATGACCAGGCAGCCGAAAAAGCTAAGAAAACCCTAAATATTATATTTTTTCGAAAATGTGTTCTGCTAATAAATTTTGGCTTTTGTCGTATTTTTGCTCATCATTGGTACGTTAAAAACGTTGCAAATGTATGCCAGTTGCAACTGCAGGATTTTAATGTTACTTTTCGTTCAGTTCCATTTCATTTATAACTGTAGGTCAGTGTTATTTTTATGATTATATGCATAACAATATTGTTTCTACGCATGCAAGAGTTGAAGCTTATAGTCATGGTAAATGTACTTGGTTGTCATAGTTACCTTTTCTCAGAAGCTGAAAATGCGTACGTGAGCCAACTCCGTCAATGCAAATCTCGGCTGGAATGTCAAGCGATTCCATTGAGGCTCTCACCGAGGCCGGCCGGGCTCGTCATAGTAAAATCGGACGTGGAGGGGCTAGACAATGAAATGTTTTCGCCAAATGTCGACGACAACGGTACAAACTAATCAAAACACTGTTAGTGGAAACGTTCACTTGACTTATGCTGTCTGTAAATTATATCAAGTTGTTGAGGCATTGACGAATCCCTTTCTTCTGATAGATAGATAGAAACACCGATCTCGTTCTATAAATCTGTCAATTAAGGGGACTGGATGTCTCAGATCAGATACCCGCAGACGACCTTGGAACATTATATTCTGTTTCATTTTAAGAAAAGCTTAGTTGATCACGGAATATCATTTACCGCTGGCGATAAAATGATATCGATAAAAAATTGGTTACTTTTATGGAGTAAGAATTTTATTATGGGGATCTTTGATTTCTCGATTTTTCCCCAATGACCATGAGTTTACTCGCCTATATTATTCATTTGTGAAGCAGAAAGTGGCTTTGTGGTATATCATAGATTATCTCAGATATAAAACAATCCCCTCGTATATGCCAGAGGGCGTCTGTAAAAACGTAATCGTTATGCACTTTAGACCCTCAAAAATGTTTCTTCTAAGATGTGCTACCCGCTCCCACCTCCCCTTTCTTTCCTTCGTTCTTCCTCTTTATCCACTTTGTTCATAATAAGGGTGCATTTAAGTTTCCTTTTCACCAATGTTGCTAACAACATTACTGTTTCTTTTCTAAAAAAAGGTTATCTCGAACATCGACAAATACATACTTCCCACTCCACCCACAGTTTTCCTAGCCACAGTAGGTAGTAAACACAAATTATAACATAGCGCGCATGCTTGCCCTACATGGGTCCTGTTGGGCCGCTATGAACAGAATCTTTTTTTACGCACGCCCGTGCGTAAATAAGATGACGTGAGCTTTTCTTTTTTTTTTTAAACTGGCTGCAGTGACCGTCCTGTTAAGCTGCAATGCAGTTTTCCTTCTCTTTAAAATATGGAAGAAACCAGCAAAGAACTGCTCAATTTTTCTATCGGCATCGACCTTTTAGGTCCTGATCCAACAAGAAGCAAAAACAAAGCCGAAAAAAAACTCGCAAGTTGTGCTCCTCGCAAATTTGTCGGGTCTTCGACCTTTAAAACATTTTATAGTGATACTTGACTTCATTTAACTTTCATTTCCCGTCAATTTTGAGCTTTTTATTCACAGTTATCGATTAACTGGATCAAACGCGCTCGCTCAAACCAAAGTATAAAGTGTGGCGGGTTTTTGGATAGCCAATAGGGACGTTCGTTTACTTTTTTTGTGCGTTGTGAAAATTTTGCTCTCTATCACAATAAAAAAGGCTCGCGTAGATCCTTGTCGTCCCTCTGATATAAAAGAATTTGTTCATGCTCTTAGCTGTGCTTATATCGAATTATGGATGCGCGCACGGGAAGTTTGGAGAGCCCTCAAAAAGTTAGATTAGCTCTCGACTGCGCCTTGAGCAACTCTTATGCATTTTTCGTGCTCTCCAAACTTCCCGCGTGCATCCATAACTCGATATACGCACGCTAAGCTTGAAAAAATTCTTAAGTGACACGAAATAAAAAAGAGGGAGGACACCTGAGCACTAATTCATTTCCATCCGCGGAAAATTTCCAAACTGCTATTATATCCACTGCGGTTTTCTTCGTTTTGAGACGTGTTTGGGATTTGTTGTTTTCAGTTGAAAATAACTGACAGAAAACTGTATTCAATTTAAATAGAATTTGTACAAGACTTGCCAAAAATAGTGCATGGCTGGTACGACTCGTCTCGACCAAGAAAATATTTGGAATATTCAAGCAAACTCATATCCCTCAATGTCCAGTCCTTAAAGTTGAAGATGTTAAAAGTCTGGCCCTCTATCCCCGAAGGAATCCCAACCACGCGTTGTTGAAAACGTTCAAACCTATCAGCATTTTACAACTGAATAAAAACAAAACAAAACAAAGCAAAACAAATATCTCAAATTTCTCACAACTTTCAACCTTTCCATATATTCTTTCTTCTTCATCGTTAATGACTCTTTGAGTTCCATTTTTTTTTTCTGCAGACTGTTCCAATCTTACCATGGCATGTTACTAAAGTAGGTCAAACAGAGTTCAAAGAAATAAACTGAGATAAATAAATCATTAGTCACATGTACCTAACATTGACCTGTTGCGCGCCGACGCGAATCATGTTCACTTAGTGACAATTTACACAACGTAACACCCAGAAACTTCAAAATGGCGGCTAAGAGTGTAGCAAGCTCGTTGAACCTTACAGCGATAAAGAAAAGCGATCAGTATGTCATGAATATCTTGGATAATGCATCACAAGTGGCACTTTACAAGTTTAATGGTGAAACACAAGCCTGGGTAAGGCAAAATTTAGGGTAACTTCTCCTGTACGATAGTGCCATTAAAGTGTCCATATCCCCTTTCACTTTTCATGAAGTTTCCTTGTAGGTAATTCGTGGTTTTGTAAATATTTATGGCAGTGAATCTTTCGTAAAAGGTTTAGGTTGAAATATTGACTTATTTTCATGAAGGAAACAGTCTGTTTTGAGCAAACAGAAGTAATTCCGCAAACTATCGCCAACTCTGTACCATGTAGATCTACGTTGAGAACACGTAAACCCATGCATAGAATTATTCTATGCATGAGTTTACGTGTTATATCGTGTGATAAATGCTTAATAATTAATTGACTGTGGGAAGTGTCATGAAGCATTTATTGCAGAATACCTGTTCTATATTTGCATGAAGGTAATTGCTTTTATCGTTGGTTGGTAATTATGTAATATCAACTCAACATAAATTAAGATCTTATTTCACTTCAAAACTATTTTCTCCTGGCCTTCCTTTCACGTGCATGAGCTTCATAAGAATTGTTTATTTGTAGTGTGTAGTGGTATGTGTCGTGGTATAATTTTAACCTTGCTTCAAACTTATTCTCCTGTGTTTCAGAATTGTTTTTATACAAGAACATAACCAAACAGAAAAGAAAGGAATTAAAAATTAAACCGAGGATAAATTTGTCAACAATCAAACAAAGTTATCAATTATTGTTAAACTGTGAATTTATCTCATTCTGACAAGTAGAGAAGGTTAGGATTTAGCAGTGTTGCAGTACCAGAAAATTTGTCCTAGAATATTTGGATAGTTGTAATCTTGAAGTTTAGTTTGCATCATTGTCCAAACCTGTATTTTTCAGTTTCATTGCTTTTTTGTGGTGGTAAAAAAACTATTCCTCCAATATTTCCTGAGCCTGCAACACTTTCTGATTGTTGATATGCAATATGACAAAATTCAAATTCTATGGCTCAATTTATATTTGGCATGTTCATTTTATTTTCTCAAAACTTGGTGATCACATTAAGTCATTGTTATTGGTGAAACATGGAGTTTTAACAAGGGATTGTTGACAAGATTTGACTGAATAATGGGAATGGGAAATAAATCAGAAATTATTTATTATTATTATTATTTATTTTCCTGTTCCCCATTTCTAATTTTTATTAGTGAAACATGGCATTTCAACAAGGGATTATTGTCCAACAAGATTTGACTACCTATTTTGTCTTGTTGCAATGTTCAGAATACTCAGTTTCACCTTTGGAACTGAAAAATTCAATCATGGTTAACTTCATTTCAGGAGAAAACAGAAGTAGAAGGTGCCTTATTTGTTTACAAAAGGTGAGCACAATTGGTTTACTTGAGTCAGCCATGATCAAACACTTCAACCCCCTTTGTGACCAAGACAGAATTTCTCCTTATGATATGAATACAATATCAAGTGGACAAGTAAGGAAATTGTCAAGATTGGACAAGTAAGGAAAAGGAGAGTAAAGGAAATTGTCAATAAGGGGATTATTAATTGATCCAATACCAAATTCTTCATACTTATTTCATAAGAGCTCTGTGGCCAACAGTAAGGAGAAGTACTGACGAGATCTGGGGTGTGAAAGAGTTAATGCATGTCATGTACTGACCTTATTTTCATTTGACTCCTGCCAGGTCTGCAACTCCAACAAGTGCCTTCTTTATCATGAATAGATTAAATATGAAAAATATGATGGAGCCAATAACAAACAGTATGGAGTTTAAACTTCAGGACCCCTTCCTCTTGTATAGGAATAGTGCAAGTAAGTAGGTCATCTGCACTGTGACATTCTGTATAAAGGAGAAGTGCAGCATGCTCCAGAAACCATATGATTTAAACAGTGTTTTTGTTTGTAGGTGTAAATATGTCTTGAGCCTGACTCCTGAGCTATGAGCTCTTAGTATAGCTCAAAACATATTTTATGCCCAAGAACATAAACTGTTTCATTATTAAAGGCTGATAGTTTGGAAAGAAACTGTTTGGGGCTCCGACGAAGGGCTAACGCTCGAAACGTCAGCTTTTGTAATCATTACGGTGGCCAATTTACCATTTCAACTTTGTTGATATATCCAAATTGTTTCATTATTAGTTTTAGCCATTGTAGGGGGCATTCAAAAAATAATAAAAAAAAAAAATGGTAACAAAACTGTCTGAACAATAACACAAGGGGGCTAAAATGCATCTTTGCCTACCAAAATCTCCATAATAGCCAGCAAAATTAATACTAAAATGTAGTCATAATTGTGTTTTATTTATGCTATTTTCAGAAGAGATATTTGGTATTTGGTTCTATGATGTTGAGGAATGTAAAAGACTGGCTGGCTTAATGACAATGTGAGTTGGATGTTACTGTAGAAGAAGTGTGTAGTTTATATTTCTTTGTACTGGTACTTCCTCTACCCTAACTTACAGTCTTTTTTGTCTTGAATACTTGGGCAGATGTCATGTGAATCAGCCAGGTTTATCTTTAATCATTCATGGAAAATAATTGAAGATAATGTTGTCTTGCTTTTAAATTCACTGATATATCTTGTTAAGATCAACAGGAAAATTATCATCTGGAAATTAACAGCTGCTGTAGGTGAAAGCCATGCTTTACAACACATTTTCCACCATGAATCAGATAGAATGCCAGACATTTTGTACTATAGCTAAACAGGACTGCAGCTATACTGAAAAAAATCTAACCATGTATTTGCAAGCTAACATTTAACATTCTTATTTGTTACTTTAGGATTAGTTCCCAGATGAATGCATTAGGAAGTGCCACAGTCACCCCACCCAAACCATCATATACCCAAGAGATGCCAAAGGTACAAGTACATTCATTTATTAACTTAAAAAACTCCCATCTCTCACACCAATTGCATTTACAGGTAACGCTGTGGACTAGCAGCACCTGGTAGCCCCTTTGCCTTGCTTTTGCTCTTGGGCAACTCAGGAATTTTAGTTTTTTCATACAAAGCATATGCTGGGCACCCTAGATTTCACAGTTTCAGAGCACTGGGCTCCATTCAGTTTTCCATAGAGCACCGCCTTGTACAGGGCTGTCACTAACTTTTGAAGCAGCTTTTTCATTGGAGATATCACCTGTAGCAGTGTAATACTGTATGTTCCCACGAGCAAATTGCCGGTATGCAACAGCAACAGAGGTGTCAATAATGTTTTCCCCAAGCTGCTACCAATAAGGTTGTTGTGAAATTTGCTGGTTGAAAAAGCAGCGATCACCAGCTGGATTTTTGGGTAGTGATTGCTTGGTCTTAGGCACGATGGGCTCTTCTGAGGTTACACACTTACAATTGTTCTCCACCTTTGAGCTTCCACATTCGAAATTTCTACTGCAGCATAATTTCTTAGCTATAGACTTGTACCAACAGTGTAATAGGTGGCTGTGCGCACAATAGGGGCTGCAACAGGGAACTCAAGTATCAGAACTTTCTCACAGGTTAAACAGACAATGGTGAGGGTGATGGGCTATTTCTGAAACCCCAGTCAGTAGCAATTAAAATGTTTGCCTTTAATGTAGAGTGAACTGGCCACAGCAGGTGTAATAGTTTACATCCCCTAATCGACAGTCCTTGTCTATGTTCTTCTTTACTGTATGTACAGTCTCTTAGACTGTCCTTCCCAAAAGCCAAAGCCCCCCCTCCATTCAAAGGACAGAACTGTTGCTGAAAATTCAATGCATTTTTTTGAAGGAAAGTCAAAAAACTACCTCAGAGGAAAAGGTTGATATCATGCAGTTATTTGCTAAAGCTCAAGAGAAATACAACAATCAGGTATAGTTAAGCTATGTTTCAAATGAATAAAGGCTGATAGTTTCGAAAGAAACTGTTTGAGGCTGCGTCGGTGGGAGTAACGAAATAATTTGGTTATATCAACAAAGTTGAAATGGTAAATTGGCCACCGTAATTATTACAAAAGCTGATGTTTCGAGGCGTTAGCCCTTCATCGGAGCGAATAGATGAATTGTGGGTTGTGTGTGCTTTTTTTCTCCCACCAATAACGTAGCTCCATTTTCTGCCTGTAAAAGCAGACACAACCCACAATTCCTCTATTCGCTCCAACGAAGGGCTAATGCTCGAAACGTCAGCTTTTGTAATCGTTACGGTGGCCAATTTACCATTTCAACTTTGTTTATATCCAAATTATATGCTTCAAATGGTTACATTTAACCCGTTAACTCCCAGAGGTGATTAACATGTAACTTCTCCCTACAACATCCAGACATAATTCAGCAAACAGGTAATGAAAATAGTAGATAGATAGTTTAATCTCCAAAGCATTTGCAGCCCGAGGGCTGAATTACACATTTTTACAATCCACGAAATTTAAAATTTAAAATTCAAAAACCTAATTACACATCTTATTATACCAGCAGTTTACAATATTATAACATAAGAATAAATTAAATAAAATATATTTGTAAATAATAAATGTAAATTAATTAAAATAAATGTAAATTACTTAAAAGTATCTACATTATTATTATCATCATTATTATTATTACTATCATTATCGTGCGTACTGTAACAAAAGTAAAGGATATAGTATCGATAAAAATCTAGCCATTAAACTTCTTTGCCATAGCAAATATAAAAGTGTTCATTGTTCTGGAAGTGTGAAGGTGTGGCATATTAAATTGGCGCTTATTTTTGAAGTTATAGCTGGGTTTATGTATGGGTGGAAGAAGAGCCTTTAACTTATGGCTAAGGCTGTTTAAAATACCTTTAAAAAGCTTCTAACATAGAAATTCTTAGAAATTACTCCAGGCAAGTGTTTGTATTTTGATTTAACACCAAATTCTTATAACTAATCTACTAGGAAAGTTTTGACAACTAGATGGGAGAATTAACAGTTATATCTTTGGAGTTAAAATGTTAAATGTACAACTCTGGTTTATTTTTCATGTTTTTAGTCAAAGGCAAGCAGTGCAAGTACAGCAGCTACTCACACAGTAAACACACCCTCAAGACCACAGATACTTCCCGAGCACAGAGAACATCAACAGTCATTCCTCCAGCAAAACCAACAACAGCTAGAACAGCTTCAAAAACTATTCCAAACTGATGATAGACAACCAAAGAAGCAAAGAGCATACTCTACCCCAGTCCCTTACCTTTTAGGAAATTTGTCACCCTCCTCCTTGGGAAAAGGACCTTCCAAGGGGGCAGAGCAACAGAATGGTGTATCACCAGGGGCTGAGGGACAGACAAGTAAGAAGAACCTCAAAATGAAGAGTCTTCCTCTGTCAGACGTAAAGGCTCCAGTAAGTTCAGGTGAGGTGCGAGGTTACATTTTTGCACTGATTTTCAGATTGTTTTTTTAGGAATTTGATGTGTGCAAAACACAAAACACACTCAGTGGGCCTTATCATGTCTTTTGCATTATTATGAGTTGACAATCAGGAAAGTAAAGAAAGTACTGGTACATGCAATTGCGAATCATCTCAAGGTGCCATCATACTTTAAAAGGGTGCAAATTTGTGAGAAAACCACAAGTTTTTTCCACTTGTCTTACAAAAGAAAAGAATGGTAGTGAGTACTGCTTTAGGAACATCTTTCCCTTACTCTATATTATTTTTTGTCACAAGCACATAAATGGAGAGGGAGGTACAGTGGGCTCATGGTTAGTACACTTGACTCTGAATGGAGACACTAGACTCTGAACCAGGAGGCAACCACCTCCTGGTTAGCTCAATTGGTAGAGTGCCGGACTGTTGTGCGGGAGGTCAAGGGTTCAGGCCCCGGCTGGACCAACACTCAGGGTCTTAAAATAACTGAGGAGAATTTGCTACCTTTCTAGAATATCACGAAATGGATAGATATTTTAGTATTCTCGGTTAAGGATGAATAAAACTGTAGGCCCCGTCTCCTGCAGGGTTAGGGGTAGGAGACGTTAATTTCCCACGCACGAGATTATTGTGTGGTGGATGTCCTCCCTTGGGGTGAATGGGTGGGTTTACTGGGCCCGCAGTAATTGGTGCAAGCTGTCGTGGTGTCCCTGCCTGTCGGCGAATCTAATAAATATAATTAAAATTAAATTGACTCCGAATTGGTTCGGGTTCAAGCCCTAGCTGGGAGCATTGTGTTGTGTTCTTAGGCAAATTTAATGCTTGGGAGTAACCCAGCAGTGGACTAGCACCCCATCCAGGGAGGGGTAGAAATACCTCTAATTGCTTCATGCTATGGAAACTGGAGTTGAGTGCCGGCTTGATGGGCCACTTTGCTTGTAAAGAGACTTCACTGCTACGCTGAAAGTACATGTATTAGGGCAATGTTTTAATTCTAAAAGAACAATGGTTAGAGTGGTCACAAATTTTGTTTTTCAATTGTATTAGGAACCGTGAAAAGTACTCAAGATGACTCTGCAGTTATTGAGCAAGGGAAAGGAGGGGCTCAAAGAAAGGTAGACCAATTTTTGTCAGTTTATGAGGTAAGGATTTTTTCAAAAGTTTAAATCTCAGGGTTTGATTAGGAAATGCAAATTAAATAGTGCAGTAGACGGAACATTTTCACTGCATTTCAACCAAAAAAAGTGGCTCCGGCCAGTGAAATTAAGATGGAGAATTCTGCTAAGTAGCGACAGATGAGCCCCTTTCCGATTTTTCACTGTTCAGAGATCTGGTATCGAACTTAAGGCGCGCGAAGGCGTGCGAACGAAGCTAAGTGCGAAGAGCCTATCGTCGGTAGCAGATCTCTGAGTAGTGAGAACTCTGAAGTGGGGTGTTCCTGGATCCATGATGCTCAGTGTAAACCCTACAGTCTTGATTGATGTCAATTGAAGTACTAAAATGCTGAAGGAATTAATATTATGTGTTTTCTGTTTAACCGTAGTTATTTCACAATGAGAAGGCGGAAGCAAAAAGCGCGGCCATGGCACCTGTAACACCCACAGTTCCTCCACAGACAACATTGGCGTCTCAAACAAAAGTGAGCCACTAGTCCTCTGTTTATTTGTTTGTTTGTTTGTTTGTTTCTCTGTAAAAGCGGGAAATCTTGTCCAGGCAGGCTGGACCTGCCTTACTTACTCGGGTAGCCAATCAGGATTGAGAATTCGCTTCATCTTGCCCATTGTCTGAGCCAGTCATGTCATAAAACATCACACTGTCTCTTGCCTGTCCTAGGACTCTCCTCAAAAGTCACAGCAAGACCAGGGGGGTGCCGCAGCAGCGTCACTCATGTCTCCATTAGCGTTCAAATCCTCAGGGAAAGTGACTGTTTTAACACCAGCACCACCACCACCACCACAGCCCAAACAGCCTCCAACAATGGACATCGCCCCCCTAACACAAGAGCAGCTAGTTCAAGCACTGACATATTTATTAAAGGTATGTTTTTCCATTTTTTCTAAACATTATTGCATACACAACGCTCTCAACAATGCTAATCTCAGCAGTGTGCAGGAAGCGTGTCACATCTGAAACTTGTAGTAACAACCTAGCTCGCCTTCAGAATTATCTAAGGATAAGAGTATCGTAGCGCAAAATCCAGAGGTCCGGACGTCCTTTCCAAATGGCGGGCTGAAAGCTCTTCTCTTTCTGTTGCTCGCGAAAAAAGCGAAAGTTACTTCGTAGAGCGCTTTTCGATTTAGTATCGTCAAACAAAAACCACAACGGCCGATCAAAAGAAAGGAAAGTACCATTTGGAGCCAATAAGAATGTAAAGTAAAACCAACCAAACGGCATAAAGCGCGCGAAAACGCCAGCGAACGATTTTGATTGGTTGAGAGAGTGGCACGATTTTTTTGGACCAATCACAGAGCGAATTAAAGCAAAACAAAGTTATTCCAGATTATTTTCGACCCTCCTTGGAAATTGCTCTTCTGTCGTTCAGCGCCACGATGAAGAGACAAAGAGACCTTTATTTGCAGCTGTTATACTTATTGTACATCTACTTGGATGGGAAATTCACTTCTTATGTGAGTGTTTTATTTTTTAGAATGACTCGGAGTTCGTGGCTAAAATACACGAGGCATACTTCAAAAGTCTTATGGAGAAGTTACCAACGTAGCCATATCTGTTTCCACGGTTGGTATTCCTTTGTTGATCAACAGGCAAAAACGTGAATTCCTTTGCAATGGTGACAGCAAAGGGAGAAGATTTCGACGTGAAGGTTTATTTGGAGAAGATATGATGGCAAGGTTAAACGTATTTTTGAAACCAATTGAAAACGATTCAATACTCAAAATTGCATGATGTTTGGGAGCTACAGGTATATCGAGATATCCAAAACTAACTTTTTGAAGCATGTACAAAACTTTTCCTACAATTTAAACAAATGTTTGTTGTACTTCATAGTGAGAGAAAACCGATTCTTTAGCCGTGAATCTCAAGCAAAAACGAATAAGTGTGGAGACGAACGAAGGGAGTTAAAAATGACAAACTCGGAATGAAGGTTTAAACTTTTTCACACTAACATCAGTATGCATATTCTCCATACTGTTCTTTATAAAGTTTATATGTTTCTGTCGATGAGAAGTTGTTCTAACAATCAAGAGCTTGTTTAGTTGGTGATCATTTCCTTTATTCTCCCTACCTTAATCTGTGATTGAGGGGTGATATGTAAGGAGAAATTAGATGTTAGTCACTGTTAGTAGTCAAAGGCACAGAGGATGCGTAGCCCCCGCATAACAAATTGCTCTGTAGTTTTTCTGTTAGATTGTTTTTGTTTTATGCCGGTTTTTTGGGCAGCCTCAAGTTTATTTGCCGGACATGTTTTCATGTAATGTTTGTTATTATAGTGTTTATTGTTACGTTAGTGTTCCCCAGAGTACATTTCGATAGAGTGTCATAAAACATAAACCATAATAATCACAGCAACCAATCAAAATTAAGGGACATATCCCAAGGTGCCAAGGCGCCTGAAGCGCGGGAAAACGCGGGAAAACGTGAGAAAACGCGGTTAACCAAGACGCGACTGGGTTTCAGTTTTGAATCTGATTTGTTGATAAAGTGATGCGAATTTTGTGGACCAATTGATCAAAGAGCAAAAGAAAAGCAAAACCAAATCAATACCGAATTACTTTTAACACTCAACTGAAAATTACTCTTGACTACTGTATGTTAATTATTTAGTGCCGTTGTTGCAGTCGGCTTGTGAGTCCAAAGCGTCCAAAGTTGTTAGAAAGAGTAGTGAAATCGAAGTATTTTTAGGAACGTAATCAAGACACTTCTCGCGCAACATTGCTGCATTTTAAATTAAAAAGCACTGTTGCACATTTTGCCACCGCGTGTTCGACTAGTTGAACAATTACTTCAAATTTAAAAGATTTGTTGGTAAAAATTTGCGCTTGAATCCACGCTGTACAAAAAGCTACCGAAATGGCGACACTGTCAGTAGTTGCGTGACGAGTTGAATGCTCTCCTGTTAATGCGGCTAACAACTCGTGCAACTGGCGGTGTGACAGTGTTGCGTGACAAGTTGAATGCGCTCCTGGTAATGCGTGTAACAACTCGTGCAATTTGCGTTGTAGTGGTGTTGCGCGACAAGTTGAACGAGAGTGTTTCCCGTATATTACTCCCCTTTGACAGAATTATTCGAAGCAGGAGTCGATTAAATAAGAGACTGGATCCTCCATACAGGATTAATTCCAAGGGTAAATTTTTAGACTCAAGGTATCTTGTATCCTAGATGCAATGTGACATACAGCTGGGGGTGGGGGAACAGCTGGTAAAGGGCGATTAGGGATGGAATTCCCACGTGACCAAAATTTATCTTATGTGAACTACTATTTCTACATTTCTGGGATCTCAGAGATTGCTTTACGCGCACGCGCGGAGTAATTCTTTAAGTCTCCTTCTACCACTGTGGCAGAACAGTTGTTGCACAAACGCTATCTACTTGCATTCTTTTTCAACATACAGTATGATAGTATTTTTTTTTTTTTAAATGGCACGTAACTTGATTACTTTTGAATAAGAAATAAGCTTGTGTTGAGGAATCAGTCAGCTTGATATTCTTTTTAGTAGATAGGTCAAAAGTACATTTAGAATTTACGCTTAGTTGGATAAGATATATTGCAAAATTGAATCGGAGTTTTTGCAATTTGTTAGTTGTCCAAAAGGTGCTGTCAAGTTTACATGAAGACATCTTTTTATGAAAGCTGGGCAGAACTTTGCACTGAGAAGCAACCTAAGAGATTTTTTTTTTATTTACTTCAAAATCGTACGTGAACTTTTAACAACAATTTCTTATTTGTGTTTGTGTTCTTTTCAGGTCATATTATGTTTCAACGTATGTTAAAAGTTTACGTAGGTCACAAGAATGAAAACGTTTTTATCCTACAATTCTAAGCCATTCAATGCTAGCTTTAACAAAAATGTGTAAGCTAACATTGAAAACTTTTTGTACTCAGTCGAGTATACAGAATACCTTGGTGTTCTTTTTAAAGACACAAACAACTTTTATTGTGTTTGTATCTTATTCCTTAAGCATTTCATGATTTGAAAAAGAACTTTTTTTTTTTTTTCAAACTCGAAGGCTAAGAATGATTTTTGGTTTAACAAGGTTTGAAAAACGTAGATTGTTTTTAAGAATCAAATTTGTCTAAGAAAACATGAAGAGTGGCTTGCCTTGACCCTTTACACCCTTAACATCAGTACGCATATTCTCCATACTGTTCTCTGTACATTTCCAAAGGAGCTGACAAGGAGAATTTGTTTAGCAATCAAGAGCTTGTTTAGTACGTGATCATTTCCTTTATTTTGATGACCTCAGTGTGTGATTCAGGGGTGAGATTGTAAGGAGAAATTAGATGCTGGTCACTGTACAGGGTTTAAAGGGTTAAAAGCATAGTCGTATTAGTCTTTACTTCATTTGGTTTAATTGGAAAAAAAATTGAGCTTGATTTCAACCGCACTTGATATGAATCGATTAACTAAGAATTCTGATAACTATAACTATAACTGGGTAGAATTTTAAGAAGTTAGAGTAGTTTTGAATGAAGACTTGCGTTGTAAAGAATGGCTAAAACGTTAAGTCGAAAGCGATTTAGGCTCAAGAGAAGCAAAAGTAAAGAAGAGTACAAAAATGGCAAGCTCTGAAAAACGATAGCCACAGTCTGTCAGTCTGGCACGGGAAATGTGCACCGGTTCCACGTGCATTAGGCGTGATTTTCTGGATGCAATGAATAGTTGGATCCAATTGGTTATAGGGAAGTATCTCACCACACCCGGATGTGGCGCGAGCCATTCATTCAACGCTGCTCTTTTCACCGTGATCGAACGAAATGATTGTGTGACATTGTTTCAACTTGCAAGCTCGCCGAGAGAGGGGCACGAAAATTGTCTTAAGAAGTTTGACTATCTTTTTTGGGCTGGAACAGAAGCTTCATCGGAATTCGGACGATTCACTGAAAAACTTTATTTTGGTGTCATGTTGAAAACTGCCGGTGAGTTTTGACAACGATTTGCCGATATCATCAACTGTTTCCGGGTATTTCTGATCCGTGGATACGCTGTAGCTTAAGATGTCAACTTAAATTTGAACTTGGATGAGTCATCATTTGTTAACCTGGACGTCTCCTATTTTTCAAGCTTTCCTGAGTTGAAAAGTACGGTGCGTCCGCAGTCTTGGATGTGTCCTTAATATGAAAATAAAAGTGACCGAAACATGAAATGGCGTATGGTTCAAAATCTTTGTGTTACCACAAAAAGTTCCCCTCTTTGCTTGCCTAACTTAGGAAGGTCAATCTTGGTGATGAGAGTGCAAGATCGTTTTGAGAGGGGAATTGGGAGGTTTTATCAAAACTTGTCAGGGGTTAAGTTAGCTTTTCTTTACAAAGAGAAAATCTCCCTGGAGACTCTTCAAAACTTTCTATAAACCTTTTAGAATCCCAAGGAGCTCTTCCAGACACTTAAAATAACCAATCCTTTGATATCTTTCTGGAAACTCTTTTGAAATCCAAGACAACTTTTGAACATGATTTCTGAGAGGGAGTGGAATTCCTCGGAACAGTCCTGAGAATGGTGAAAACAAACAAACTACCGTGTATAGTCATGGGTAAAGTACGAGTTACAGATTCCTGAGTAAGGGCTTATTCTTACTTGTAAGGCCCTCTCCCCCCCCTGACCAAGTTTGGTTTTCTAGTCAACTCTCAGATATTTCACCAATAACTAATGTGCAAAACCATCTCCATGTGTCAAAAAACCAAGATGACTACTTGGACAGCAAAAACTGTTAACTAATCAGTCTACAATTTCAATAAGTCAATATATCAAACTTTAATAAGATTCTTGGAAACCTTCAACCATGGAAGTTAAATATACATTGAATGTGAATTCATTTTGCTCTCTTAGGGTTGATAAAGCTTGAAATACCTTTTCCTATACAACATGTTACAAAACTAAACATGAGGAAGAAATGTTCACTTCCTTTTAATTATGTTGCAGTGGAAATAATACTCTGCTGGGGGGAGGGGGCTTTCTCTTGCAAATGAATCATGAGCAGTGCTCTGGCAGAAAGGTAATTCTGAGAAGAGTACTAAATTCCCAAATAGGGATTTACAAAAGGATATGGAAAACTCACTGACACATCCAACAAAAGAAATTAGTGGGGGGTGGGGTGCAGATCTACTCAAAGAAAAGTGCAGCAAGAGACAATTCATTTATAAACCAAGTGCCTTATTCTTTGTAATTACAAGCTACCTCCAGGAAGCATACATAAATTTAGCCTTGAAATATCAATTGTAACTTTTCATATGCAGAAAGAGAAAAAGTGTTTCTATCTTAGTAGAGGAGTATATTGGGAGAGGGTAAGACAGTGTTTTTTCAAAACTTTGTTGGGTACCACCACCCCTCCCTTCTGCACAGTATAAATCACAGAAAAAAATGATGTCTGCGCAAACTAATTAACACTGAACACCCTGCCTTAAATTAGGTAAGACAACAACCCTCCAGCTCATCTTGTAACGACATCAAGGAGTACAAGGTCATTCATTTTACAAGATAAATTGTATAACTTTCTACAAGCTAAAGTTATCAGAGTTCTGTATGTTCACTTTTAAGTTGTTCAATCCTCTTGATAAAGTCTGATTTCTCTAAACATCCCACACATTCTTCTTCCCAGTCACTAAGAATCTTCTTGAGCTGCTTAACTCGGAGTTTCTTCAGGTCAACATTGTTGAGGTCAATCTGTTTGTCTGCAATAGAGATCAGGTCAAAATTCATGTGAGTATGAGAACAATGCAGAACTGTGGTCTGGCAACACCCAGTGGCCCCTGGCAACTATAACTTTTGCTCTCAGGCAACTTGGGAATTTTAGTTTTTTTTCATATAATTTAAGCACATGCTGGGCACCCTGTATTTCAAAGTTTCAAAACAGAGTGCTCCCTTCAGTTTTTCTTAAAGCACAGCCTTGCAATGTCAGAGTAATAATAGATGTATTATTAAGGTGAGAAAAAGATGACAACCTCAACTCACATACAGCAACAAAACACATATCCCATTTCCTCTGAGTAAATTTATTAATATTTCTTTAACACAAAACCCCTTGTTACACTGGTACAGGTAATTGTCAATAAATGCTCTTCACATTATCCAAAGAGCAGTATCTTCATGTTACTAGAAGTATAAGAAACAGTAAGAAAAAAGAGAGGGGAAATCAATTTCTTTACATTGAATCTTACCATACTGCAGCGCACAAATTTGACTGTCTTTTCTCTTAAGGTCCTCACAGATCTTCTCTGCAGGTTTGTGGTAGCTCAGAGGTTTAAGGACTGAATTAAGAATACTAGTAGCAGCATCTTCAGTTCCTCCAACATAGTAACACTGGTGATTAGAGAAAAAATGTAGTGAATGGATACTGTAGACCTTCCTCTGCTTACTTTTGTGGCATGAAGCAATGTTCTCCTTTTCTTTCAGACAGTAACTGGTAAAATGCATTGCTTACTACTGCCTAAAATAGCATGCAATTCTTAAAAATTCCACAGTTAATAGGATTGCTCTCCCAGTTTGAAAATCTATTTAACCAGTTTTGCTTAAAACAATGAAGAACACTGATCAAGGGACCAGAAGTATTTCTCCTGAATCTCTCCATGGGGGGAGGGGAGGGGGGTGGACTGAAGGGCATGTATCTGTCTTTTCTCCCAGTAATTTTTCCAGTTTCCCAGACATTTGCTAATAGCCACTCAAACTCTGACCCTGGTGGATTGAAGGTAGCACTGCCAATTGGTAAGTCAGCATCAAGGAGATAAGTGTCCGAAAACTAATCTACACTATTTAGTTCTTCTTAACCGAGCGGGAGGTCTGTATGGGAGAATCTTGACTGAGGTCGCCAGTACAGACCGAATGCAGTGAGGTCTGTACCAGCGACCGAGGTCAAGATTCTCCCATAAAGACCGACCTAGCTCGGTTAATAAGGTGTTCATTATATGGCTGTCTAGAAAGCAACGGAACATTATATTCTTTGTAACTTTTTTTCTAGACTGGTCTAGATGGGAAAATCTAGACCGCTTTCAATATTGATTTCAGCCAATCAAATTCGTGAATTTGGTAGTTCCCAGTCCTTGTGGGACACAGCCATATAATAACACCAGATACTGATACTCCCTCTAAAATAATCAAGGTTTTCAATCTGCACATTAGAATAAAAAAGACCCATGCCACTGAAATTCAGCAAGAATTTTGCATAGTAGCCATGAAATTCTAACATCTTGTTTGCCTAATTCCCTGGCGATAAGGGCTCAATGACAAAAAAAACTGTGCGTGAAGCGTCCTGTGCCAGAGTAATGTACAGTTTACCCAGCCAAAGCTTGAACCCAAAGCTTGAACTCAGACCTCTCACATGCATCTGTTTCACACATTTCTTAACCATGATTAAAAAGTGTACTTACAAATCTGTTTTCTTTGTTCTTTGCTTTTTTGCAGGTAGCTTTGAACTTTTCCTCAATTGCTTTCACGTCAGACATCTCATCACTTGAAAGTTTACTTGCAAAATTTGACAGGAACTTTATACAAACTATTAAAGAAATATATCCAGTTTTTATGAAACAATACTGTGTAGTACAGCACAACTGCCACAAAATTTAAACAAATTTTTTAGGAAAAAAGAGTTTGGTCATACAACATACACAAACACATTCAAAGTTTGAATTGTTTTTTTCCAATATCTCTGTTTTCACAGCTGTGTCAAGCCATCCCATTTTTTTCCGGGATCATGTCCAGTATGAATACCGTATAAAAAGGGGGTTTATCTTCCCAAGAAAGAAGTTTTGACATAAAAAGTTTGAGTACCAGTGAATGATCTTTAATAAATTTCTTGGAGTAGAAAGTGTTATTTCACACAGGTGTTTGTGTCTGATGGAAATTCTCAACAGCTTTACGTGGAACACAACCCAGAAGAAACAACTTAACAGTTGAGACAACAGATTCTAAATGTTTAAACTATTGCTCTGTTAATTCCTAAACAGTATTTCTGAAGACTATATCAGCCCCACAATAAGCTTGATTCAGTAAAGACATCACGACTGGCTCAGAAAATATTACATCATATGAGCAACAAATTTTAAAAGATACATCACAAGATCGTGGCATGAAAAAACTGAAAACTTGAATTTTTCATGAAATACTGCCTCTTAAATTTCTATCAAACTTAACCCCCAACTTATTAATTCTTTTAAATAAACAAGTACATTAAGTTAAGTTTCCAGGTTGCAAGTCTATAAATTACGCTATGTCAAAGAAAAGTGCCGTAGTTTCCAATGCTAAGGCCTAGAAAGTTCTCATAGTTTTCCATGAAACCTAGGCCGGTATTTTGGTTGAGAAACAAGAAATCTTTGTCATTTGCACATTTTTTTAGTAAATCTAGGTGAAGGCCTAACTACCGTAAAGCCATACGTGTCAAGCTATGATCTTAGCTACTAAAAGTTGTACTTCCTGCCGTTACAAGGTAGTATGTAAGATTTACCTTCGCATTCTCCCTCCTGTAACTTAGCCTCCGACAATAAAACTTGACAGCCAAGTAAGGCGTTTAGTGTGAGAACAATAAATAACCACATTCTCAAGAAATTAGCTCGATCAAACAAATATAACTATAAAATCCCCGAAACTTATTTTGTGTGAACTCTTTTTGCGTTTGCCGGTTGATTACGCAAATACCAATGCTAGCAGTCTAGTTGGCGATCTTTGATTGGCTGAGACATCTCTTCAGCCGACAGTTTTGAAAGCCAGCGGCTTAATAAGGAATAAAAGCCCGCATATTTATGACCAGCGTTTCAGTTTTATAACTTAGTCACCAGTCTTCGACTGAGAACAAGAAGCTGATAAATATCTCTATGGAAATACAAGTACGCAAATGGAAGGAAATGTTTTTCTAATGTTTTTTTGAAATCGAGGGAAGATCGTAATGGCGGATCAAGAAAGGAGACAAGCAGTTGGCAGTTGATATGTCTTTGACGTCAGTTTTGCCCGCCTTGTCGGGTGTTTACACCCAGAAACACAAGCAAAAGTTAGTTGATGTTTTGATGTTTGAAGCTCGCCATAATTTATAGCTAATTAGCGGGATTCGAACCACTCGATGATTCTTGATATTGACACAAGACAGAGCACGGAGATCTGTCAGCTTTAACGTTTGAACTGTCCTTTTTTTCTTCAAAATTAATGATATCATGAGAGTTTTATCGTGCTGAATTGGATTTGTACAATTTGTGATACAAGTTAACAACAAATCGGCAAATCTCTTTTATTCTGTGTTTCGTTTTACTTGTTGCACAATACAGGATGTTATAGATGGTTCCTATTACAGTAAGCAGCTCGTTATTTTTATATTTTCCACTCTGTGTAGACCAGATAAAGTATGTCATCCAAGAAAAGGTCACTGCTTTTAATTTTTTGAGACTTAGGTTCCATAATAACACTGGATAGAAAAATCTTAATATACTCGACATGGGTGTGTATTTTTTGATAGAAAAATGTCCTTTATAATATAAAGGTTGCTGGTGAAGTTGTAGTGAGAAAGTACTTCAAATTAAACACAAGCAAGGTTGAAAATCCCAACTGGTGGGTGGGGGGGGAGGGGGAAAGAGAAAACAAGTTTGATATCTAAAAGCATGGTCTCAGACATTAGAAACCAGGACCTTGGGTTTGTAAGTCAAGTGTACTTTCTCATCAGTCACAAGAGGGATCCACTCTAATTGGCTAGGCTGTAGTGGTCTCCCCACCTAAGATTTCTATGTTTATGAGTAATGTATCCCAATGAGGGGAAGCTAAATAAATAACTAGTTAAGCAATGCTGAAAAGTGTTCTTATTGTTGTCAAAGAGAAGGAAAACTAAGGGTTTTTTCTTTTAGTATTTTAAGGTGAAGTCTGTCATTATGTACTATTTCCAAATGCATTTGAATTTGGTCTTATGAACAAGTATGCTCAAAGAAATATCAAGTTTCATTTAAGAAAACATGGAATGTTTACTCTACATGCTGCAGTACTGTTGTAATGTATTACACTACGTGCTAATGATATTGTTCAGTTTGAGTCATTCTAAAGAAGACTTATTACACTTTTTAAGGAAGATGAACTTGTAGCAGAAGAATGAGGCAGTAAATATACATGAAAAGATTATGTGTTTGAATGTTCCATTCATTTGATAGCTTTCTTTTAAAGAGTTTGCATGCCAACTGAATGATCAGCAATGCAGAAAAAAAATTTGATTTCTAATGACAAAACTGTATTATCACCTTTTCCCACCATGTGTAGGGTTCTGGAAACAGCCAGCAATGCTTCAAGCTCAGTTCGTTCCAAAAAGAGCAAACAGAAGCACTTGGCTGAAGCTGAAAAACAGAAGGCTGAAGCAGAAGTGAAGGCTGCAAAAGAGAGAGAAGAGGTACTCCAGTAGTTTGTTGTTCTTTGTTGTGTTTACCTCTCCTAAGTGTTCAAGACAGAACTTCTCCTTACAATATCAACACAATACCAAGTAGACAAGAGATGAGAATAAAGGAAAATATAAAAAAAGTGATTATTAGTTGATCCAATATCAAATTCTCCACACTCACATCAAAAGAATTGTATGGGTGACAGTAATGACAATTAATAATTTTATTTTTTTTATTTATTTATTTATTTAATCAAGTTTCATATTGACAAACAAATGACAATTACATCAATCGATTGATCAATCTGAGGTAGGCTTAAGACAGAATACAAGACTCCTTAAAAAATACTAAGCCGTCCTATTACAACAAAAAATAAAATTAAAAGAAAAAAGTCTACATCAATCTACATTACCACTAACCAAAGTTGAAAAGGTATCTGAAAAGTTAAAAAGTTGACAAGGTATCTGACTCTCTTATACTAATAGGTAATTCATTCCACAGGAAACATTAATCTGAATAAAAAAAGAATTCTTAAAAGTGTCAGTCCTGCTGAAAAGGACATGACAAGCGTTAAATGATCAACGTTTCTCAGCGATTTAGTACAAGAATGAAACGATACGATATGATAAGATCTAGGGAGTGAAAGTGTTTAAACAAGCTAATCATTTTTGATTAGCTTTGCTACACCTTGATTTTGACTGTATCTCCCCTCAAACATTAACCAGAAGGGAGGAAGATTTTAAGTATGATTAGTGTTAATAATTAGATGATATTAGAGTACCACCTTGTTTTTTAGAATTTTAAGCTTTTATCATTTTAGACTTGTAAGTAGTAAGTAGCGATATGATTTTAGCTGGTATATATCCTATATATTCTCTAATTCATTAGTTATCTTACTTAATTATTTAGACACGACCCAACAAGCGAAGTGTCGCTTTAAATACTTATCGTCTATAAATAAAGGTTATTGATTGATTATTGATTAATTGATTGATTGATTGATTGATTGATTGATTGATTGATTGATTGGAGGTAATCTATGAAAAGGTGTTGTGTGACTAATGTTTTCATGCTTTGGCTTGTATTGACGCTCTGACGAAAGGCTACCGCGCTAAACGTCAGCGTTGGAAACTCTTTAGGTGGCTAATTCACATTATCAACTCAGTTGATAAAACCAAATTAACGTTGTAGCCAAACACTGTCTTATCAAAAAATAGTGTGTCTGATGACAGTGTGACGTTTAACATATTCGAGATGTTTCACCGACAGAAGTAACTGAGCAATTTTGTATTCAACGTGGTTTACGTTCGTGAAACATGGTCGTCTGGAGTTCCAAGCTTCTGATACCCCCCCATCCAATAGGCCCTGCATCTGGAAGCCCAGGGGGGGATGGACTGAGCTTGTGAGAGCGTTTATGGTACTACCCACTTGTAATTTGTGACGCTTCTTTGTTTCTGCAGCAATCTGTTCGCTTATATGAAGTGTGGTCAAAGATTAAACAAGAAGAGAAAAATGAACATTACCAATACTTGAAGGAGAGAGTCGCCATACAACATGAACTCATCAAAAGACAAGACTCGCTCTTTAAGAAACGCCAAGCACACCTCGAGCAGAAACGCTGGCAGGTGAGATGTTACAGCTTACTGAAGGGTTAGTTAGTAGGACAGCCGAGAGGCACCCTGAATTCGTACTCCGGCACGAGCGCCACAGTTTCTTCACCCGCAGGAAAATATGCAACGCGAGTCGGCGAGAGGTCTGCAAGAGGTCTAGTCCCACATCCCGTCGTCATCAATTACGTCATCCTTTTATAGCTAACTGTACCATAATGATGAGGACTTCCTTGCAGGCTATACCTTGAATATAGTGGGTATCGGTCCTTGTAGTGAGTCTCTAAGTCTCTTTTATACAGCAATGGTGCATTTTATTTACAAACATGAAGTGTAGCAAGTCTTTCCGAATTGAGATCTCAAAGTTAGGGCCACGCTTATATATTATAACCGAAGGTCCACGTAAAAAGAAAGTACCTAAGAGTAACTTAAAGTTGGTGCTGGAATGGAAAAGATGAACTATTGCAAAATTGATTAGGATAAAAGATAGTGGAGCATTTTCATGGCTAAATTTTTCTGTTAAGCGGTAAGTTTTTAAAGAAACTGTGGTGCTGCGTCGCTGGTGGATATCAAAAGATCTTTTGGTTTTATCAACTGGGTTGATAATGTGAATTGGCCGCCGTAGTGATTTTCTAAATCTGATGTTTCCAGCGTTAGCCCTTCGTCAGAGCGAAAGCGAAGGGCTAACCTTTGAAACGTCAGTTTAGAAACTCTTTATGATGGCCAAATTCTATTTTCAACTCCGTTAAAGATTAAACCAATGTATCTTGTAAAATTTTCTATCATGAATTATACCTTGCAATAATCTGAGTAAAGCTACGGTATTTCTATGGAGTTATGTTGATAGAATTGTTTAGTCTCGCTTGCGGATTTGCAAACTGAAATATGAGTGTCTTTAGCGTCTCAGATTTCACTTTTGTCACTCTGTTCTTCTGGCGCATTAGGAAGGAACGCTAAGTATAAATTCAAAGTTCGCCCTTTACTATTATATATTTCATTTACAAATGAAACTGTCTTAAAACGATAGTGTTTAGTTTAAATTCAAATGAAATCTAAACCAGCAAATTCTGAATCGGATTGTCTTAGTGCAGAGCTACAGTGCGGTGTGCATCACTTTCCATTGGGTCATTTTTGTGATGGACGAAAACTGCCATCAAAGTTAATTCTCGGAATGACTCATAATTTGAAAGGAAATACAGACACCTTGGAGGCCAGAATAACGTAGATTGGGTCGAGGTCAACTAACGATGGGAAAGATTAACGCAGACTGCGAATAATACGCTTAGAACAATTAGTATAAAACATTTTAGATGCGCAAGCAGTGACATTATTTTTCTTGCTGGATTTCGATCGTTTCTCTTGCTCCCAGGGCTCTTTCCCTAAACGTTAGCGTTAAGTCGCCAATTTTGCGGTTTTCTAGAGACATGAGCTTGGGAACTGTTTCGCAAAAGTTGTTAGCCCATATTTCGATCGCCTGTTAAGGAAAATTATATGTAATGAATATAGTAGTGTTTCAAAACATTAGTCAAGTGTGTTAGGGGGAAATTGATGGATCCTTCTTCGTACAGGAAGGAAGCTTCGATTGTGCTCTGATTTGTTGAAGAGCACACTGGAAGCAGTCGGGCACTCAAGAAAAACCATTGATTTACTCTCACCCGCACGATCAAACACTTGTCTATGTTTCGCGTTTCCACCGACAATTCCTTCGTGCAGAAGAACAGAGCACAGTCACGAAACAGTCGAAATTGGGCTTCCTTGTCGAAATCAGATTTTGAAAATATATCGTTTTTGTCTGGGTCACTGAGGCAGTGATCGTGTTAATGTGAGGGTTGTATTGCGAAGTTCATGGTGTGTTTCTGATTTGTATCGTGAATTATTTATCACTAACTTTCGCATTTTAACTTTTAGATACGAAATTGCTCCGCAAAACGACACACACAAAAAATATAATTATTATTACAAATTCTCGCTATTTTTACTGAGGAAGTTTTTGTTGTTTTATAACTGTCTTCTTTTTAACAGCGCCCAACCGCTGTACACTCTGCGCTGTAATGAGATGCAAGTTTCATGGTAACACTTTGTTGTTTAAAGTGTTGCGTCTCATGAATATATAAACACATTTCGTTCAATGTATAAGTCGTAATGCTCTTAAACTCTTTACTTTTTTAGCTAAAAGAAGCAAAACGCTTGTCAAAGATGGCCAAGTCGAAAGAGTATACCGACTTTGTTCGAAATGTTTTGGGTAAGTGAAACTTTGTAGAAATTTGTTTTTCGCTTTTGGTTAAATCACTTTTCACATTTCCGATAGCGTTCAGTGGTTTTAAACAAAAATGAACGACAAAATTTGTCTTTATTTTCTATTTTCGTATAAAAGCTTCTTTTTAAACTGGGGCATTGCACAAGCAGCTGATAGGCAGACGGTAAAATTTCTCATATTGCCGTTTGCCGTAAGTATAAACTTTGTCCTAAATGTCAGGTTCCCTGCAAGGATACTGTTCATCATTTTACCTGCACAGAAGTACAAAGCTGCACTAGTGAACTTGTCATCATTGTCATCCACTCTGCCAGCGAAGAACTTGTCCCTGGGAGGTATTGTACAGGGTCCAGTTGTAGAAAGGGCGGATAGTGCTATCCTACGGATAAATCGCTATCCGGTGGATAAATGACAGCAAAACGTACAGCGTTATCCACCGGAAAGGGTTTTATCCAGTAAATAGCGTTGTTCAACCTTCGAACAACTGGGGCCCGTAAGTCTGGGAGAAGGCCTTTGCGATTAGTGCTTCGGCACCAGCGTTTCTTTGCTCGCGTGAAATTATGATGCCTTGAGCAACGCGAATCGGCAAAAAGTCTGTTAGAGGTCTAGTACTTTTAGTGCCAGACCCCGGCAAACCTCTCCGTCTTGCAGAGCAAATAATGAGGGCCTGGTCGCAGGCCAGGAAAAAAAAATTCGCTGGTGTGTAAATCCACTGCAGCTTAAATACTTGATAAAATTTGCTCTCACAGCTCAAGACAAGAAGAAAGCTCTCAGTTTGAAATCGCACGTCCGTGTGATTAGCAGCCATGAACCAGTCTGTGCGCCACAGTCTGCACGAGATACCAAAAGTAGCTACGAAAGCGCAAAAACTCAATCACCCGGTCAGTCTAGTCCGGACAGCCACGAAGAAGCTGTGCTAGAAAGTTCCCTTTTCACAGATGATTTCAAGGGATTGCTGCATGACCCTGTTGAGGTACAGTTGAAGAAGCTGTTGGGTGCAGATGCCGAGGATTTTCTTCATCCGACTTTCCGCGAGGGAGCCAAGAAAACTCTTAATCCAATGGGGACGCAGAGAAAACGTACGTATTAATTTTAAAAAGCCTTTGTCGCGTGGGAACGTGCGCACGTGTGTCCATGCGTGTATGTTTTCCTGAGCGGAAACACGAGATTGTCACGTTGTTCCTGTTTTAATTAAATGACTTAGATCTTCTGAACTTCGCCTTTGGACTGCAAAAAAAAACTGTAGTGACGCACTTATTCCCAGGCTCCCGGTTAGTAAAAACGAATAAAAAAAGGTGGGAAAAAAGTGAGCTAGCGTGTAGCGGGAAACGACCACAAAACTTCGCTTTTTTTCTCGCGGCGTGCCCGCCTTTTACAACAGTTTCAACTAAATGGGAACCTTGAATATGCCAGCAGTATCTTAGTGTATGCCTTGCATGACCTGAAAGCACAGAATTTATCATTTATAATTGCAATTTTATCCAGCGAGTGGCATTGGAGCGAGAGAGCTGTGGGGAATACTGAGAAGCAATTCGCTGTCTAAACTGGAATCACAAGATGACATGATACCTGGAGATGTAAAGGTAATGCACTTTCTTGCGCAATTCGTCACTAGATTCACTCCCCGACGTCTTTTGTCATCCCTGTTTTTTTCTGGTTTTTTTTTTTTCAATTTATTCTGACCTATGCAGTGTTTGTTTAGCGTGGCTAAGTATTATTTTAAGATTTCCAAACGTTTAAAAATTATATTCTTGCGCCACAAAAACCACTCAGAAGTCATCGGGTCACTGCATAGAACTTGAGAGATTCAAAGGCAATACTACAAATCAATCTTAACTAAGGCAACTTTTGAAGTTTGCCACCTCTGTAAGCTTTGGTCAAGTGTTGGGGTTAGCTTGTCCACAAGCATTGCACAAGATCGGGATGTCATTGTATTTTTTTCCCTTTACAGAAATGTTCTGCTATTGTTTTTCTGAACTGAAGTGTTATCAGAAGGAATAACCATTTCATTTCATTTAGGCCTAGTTTATACGTCGCGCTACAGTAGAATTTAATTCAGACGAATCTAATCCATTAAATTCGTCGTTCCGTCGACGTAAATCGTGGCGTGGTTTTATGCGTCGAAATCAATACGATCGAATTTAATGCTCTTCCCAAATGCAGTGCCTCTGGTCAGAGGTGTCACTTTGAAACAAACATGGCGCGGTTGAAATACATTAAGAAAATGTATACATTTCATTCGACGCGACGCTATTTCGACGTTAAAACTGAAGACGCGTTATCGATATTTTATCCGTCTTGCCAAGACGGATAAAACGTCAAGGACGAATTTAATTTACCAGACAAATTTAATTCTTTTTATACGTCGCGCTATCGTCGAATTTAATTGCTTATGGGACCTTGAATTAAATTCGACTGTAGCGCGACGTGTAAACTAGGCCTTATTTATTTATTCATTTGCCTCTTACACACACACACGTACAAAAATAAATGACAGTTGTTTACAACAATCAAAAATAATAACTATAATAATATCATTATACAACAAACTATAATTAATCCATATAAAATTACTATTTATGATCATTTCTAAAAAGTGTGGCGAGAGGAAGCCAAGCAGAAGCTAGTAGCTTATCAAACCTGGGTTCCCCACACGATGTAGAAGATAGATTTGCTAATTACGGGCGGGCGAGTTTAATTTAGTTTTCTGTCAATGAGGAATTTTTTAAGCGAAGTCTTAAAGGTGGAGAATCTGTAGGATAGGATAAGATCATGAGGTAAGGAATTCCAAACCTTTGGACCATTTAAAGATGTGCTTTCTTTTTTCATGTCATAGAATGCGTACACAGCTTTCCTAAGGGAGTGTCTTCACAACAACATCCCCACTGTGCGCAGGAGTTTCTGCAAGGGCGAAGAAAATGTAAGTAGAACACACTATAAAACCATTCTTGTTCTCGTAACCCTTTGTTTCCTGAGAGTGATTGACGTCTAGTTTCTCTTTACATTATGACCCCCCAAATCAAATGTGAAGGTCAGGAGAATAGTGGAAATGATCGCCAGCTAAAGAAGCTTTTAATTGTTAAACAAATTCTCCTTGTTAGCACCTTAGGAAATGTATAGAGAACAGTGTGGAGAAAATGCATTCTGATGTAATGGCGCGAAGAGTTAAAGACTGCGTTATCATAAGGTCGTTAAAGTTAAAACCAGGTCATGAATTTACAAATTATTGTATTTGTTCAAAGATTTTGTCTTTGTGACGTTTTTGTAAGGTAAATTATGTACTCGTTCAATTTTTAGTACCGTAGTTGGACTTCGATCACGCGACGCTCATTGCTAAGCGAGCTTCTTTTTAACGCTTCCCTGCCTCAGCTCGTAGCTTCGTGTAGATTTTACTCGTTTCGTTTAATATTTTCCTTTTCTTTGATTAACTTTTTGGTTGTGCGATAGAACTCCATGAGACTTCGCAAATCACTTATTGATAAACATGTCATTGTATTGCCACGTCCTATCTTTTAACAGAGTATACCAACATAGTTAATAGAGTCCACGAAGCCTCTACCTCGTGCACTAGACCCAGTTTCCCCGCCGTGTATCAAAAATTATTACACGACGTGGGAAGTCAGAGGGCCAATAACTAAAGTCGACCAATCAAAATGCTTTATTGCCGGTCCAATATTCTCTAAGTATTGGACCGGGCACTGTCCCGAATGGTCCCGAATGATACCGCACTTGTGTCCCTTTGAACTTCAGTCGTTTAATAAATCTCTTATTAACCAAGCTTGCTCGGGACCGTACTGGAAGAATATCGGCCCTCGGTCTTTTTTGTACGGACCTCGCTGCGCTTGGTTCGTACTGTCAAGACCTCGGGCCGATATTCTCCCAGTACGGCCCTCGCGCTTTGTTAATAAGATATATGTATTGATCGCGTCGACACTTAATCATTTCATTATTTTTCGCCTTTAGGTCTTTGAAGAAGATCGTGTTAGTGAGAGCCAGTTGATACAGGACATTAAATTTACGCGACATCGCTTAGAGCTCATGTTTAGAGTGGCTCATATGAACCGTGATAAAACCAAATTACTGGTGAAAACAATGGACCCCGAGGGGCCCTCTGAGGGGACACTGAGTCGCCCGCCAAGATACGACCCGCAGCAGATACTTGACATGCCCATGGTAAGAGTGTCAATAGAATGGTTCAATCTCGGACTGAGTAATTTTCAATTGAATGTCGAAGATGATCCGGGATAGAATTAGATAATGTGGTTTTCTTAATTGAGTGCGTTCTGATAAGGACCAACGCTCGAAACGTCAACTCCAGAAACTCTTTACGGGGGAGGGGAGTTTTACAGAATTAACTTGGTTGATAAAACCAAGTTATCTTGTTATACCCCCCCCGCACCACATCTACGCATACCTTGCAAGTCAGACCACTTTATAAGAGGACATGAAGAAGAAAAAGTTATACTCACCAATGCTAAAGAGCACTGATATGTACTCGCAATCCTGGTCGCTTTAGGCTTCAAAAACCAGGTCAAGTAATATGTATGGTAGCAATGAACCATTAAGCTTTTGAGACAGACATCTATTTAGAACTTTAAAGTTGTAGCCTTTTTTAACCATTTTCCTCCCTAGGGAACGCGTATTGCACCATTACCAAAGCTAGCACTAACAGACGCAGAGGGGGGACGCCATTCGATTCAGGAAGCACCCTCCCCTAGAATGGAAAGCACACATGAACCAGAGAAAGAAAAAGACGTGATTGTCGGAGGAGAAAAGATTGTATTCCTCACTGAAGAAATGGCAACCTGTGAAGGAGAATTCGCCAAACGACACAAAGCCCATGGATGTTCTAAAGAAATGGCCCCACTCTCTAAAGGGCCACATAGGGAGATCAATGTAAGAGGAACTCTCTCAGCCCCTCCAAGTAGCATGGGTTCAAGGGAAGCGAAGAAGAGCCAGGGCAGATTGTGGGAACCGCTTAGTTTAAGCGCCTTGCTAGAGTACAATGCCCCAGTACCCGCGCCGGGTAGTGGTGAATTTCTTTTAGGACAAACGAAAACGTGGAAAATACAACGATAACACTTTTTACCTCCATAACTAACAGCACGTTGGGCTCTAGCCTACATGTAGGTGTACCATTCCCCCTCCCTTTGGTTTCTCCTAGAGGGAGGGTAGGGCTACACCAAGGCTGGCTGGGCTGGCACTGTTTTGCTATTCAAGTCATTATTTGTGTAAATACCATTGACGTGTCACATGCACAAGGGGCGAGGTTCGTCATGTATTGTTTGGGAGGCGAACTTGGTGGATGCACATGTTAATTATTAATTATTAATTAATCAATTAGCTTATCAATTTTTGATTGATGGATCGGGGAAGGGTTTTTTTTTTTTTCTTGTTTTAAAATTATTATCACCATGTGGCTGGGCTGGTAGTCGAATCTTGTAAGGGACGAAATGTCTTATTATTCGTGCTACCCGTACATTGTAATAGGTGTGCAAATATTTAAGTAAATAAATAAATAATATAATATAAATAAATTAAGAGAGTCGCGAGCAGGGTTGGATTGCTTCTTCATTGGCGTACCAGTTATTGCCATATGATCTGCGTGGGACTAAGAACTAGAGAAAAGGTTTTCTTGAAGAGTTTTCAATCAATCATAGAAAATGACATCCTCGGAGACCCAGGGGCTGTGAGTCGATTTCAAGTTAGGGCGGAAGACCCCTGGGGCTCTTCCGCCCTAACTTGAAATCGACTC